CTAGCAACCAGTGGTTGCCTTACAGTCGCTAACCAGGAGTTTTCTACTAGTTCCTGCTGACTGAGCCTGGGCCTGTTGACTGAAGCCTAAGGACAATGGGAACGTCCCTAATTTTAGAACTAACTGCTAAAGTAAGGAGATTATAGAATTCATTTTAAGAGGAACAAGGCTCTCATAAATTTTGCAAAACATCCAGGTATGTAAAGCACGCACCAGCTTCACTTTCTGCATCAGTTTTACTACAGTGTAAATTTTGTAAAGCATTACTGACTTAATATTGATAGTTAGACATTATGCTGTTTTAAAGTATGCTGAAATTATAAATTAAATATGGGATGCTGGAGTTCTCTGTAGTTTGCATAGAAGATGACAAGCCTGCAACTACTTGGCAACCATTTGGGGAACACTTATTTTTAACGAAATACAAAAATGATTAACCTTTTATTCAGCTCAGCTGTGACATGACTTATAAAATGACACTTAACCTCATTAACAGGTAAATACAGTGTAGTGGTGTCTTTGTCTTTATCTACTTGAGTGGGATTGAGTGATTTATAGACATAGGGCAGGTTGTAAACAGTAAACAGGCCATACAATGCTTTTGTGTTTCCCTTGCTTTCAGTCTGTTTTTTAAGTTTTTTTGTGTGCGTATAAAAGGTCCGCAAAGTTCAAGAGCCCTGGACTTTGTATGTGTGTGCAGATGTATATGGCAAAGTTTACAACAGTGTTTGTATCTCGGTCCTGTGTCCCCTCTCTCTGCACAGAAAGCATGTACACCAGATGAATGACAATAAGACGAGTCAATCACTATTTCCTGTGACCACTGATCTGCATGAGTTCCTGCGGCAGTAAAGGACAGAGGCCAGCTTTGGATCAGTGATATGAATATAAATGAGGGGGAATTTAAATAAATGGGATACATTTGAATGTTTTATGCTGTCATCCAGCACACTTATCAGGACTATCTGCATATTTAGGGCCTGGTGATGGATTGTTGGGAAAAATGGAAAATGGAAAGATCGGCTGGAAATAATGTAGAAGTACCTGCTTTTATATATTGCACAATAACCTGTGTCTTGTGTACTGTGCAAAAGTCTGCAAGGGTAAATGAAAGTCATCTGTGTGAAGCGGCAAAACAGTTGATGGATTAGGTTGGTATTCAGATCGTTGTGGTGTGTGTGTGTGTGTGTGTGTGTGTGTGTGTGTGTGTGTGTGTGTGTGTGTGTGTGTGTGTGTGTGTGTGTGTGTGCGTGAGCGCTCTGAGAGCTTGAAGGGGAGGATGAATGTTCAGGTAATTGGTTGAAGACCAGGTGTAATTTTAGCCTCAACAAATCCATTTCAGAGCTGGTACCCTGCAGGAGAGCCGAGACAGAGAGCGATGAGTAATAGACAGAAAGCCTTACATTGGATGAAGCAAAAATCAGATTTTTTTGAACACTTTATTCTGGCAGCTCTATGCAATCAGCTCACAGTTCAGAGATCAAGCTAGAAAGAGAGAGGCCTGTAAGGACATGAATCAAAGGTCCCACGCCAGACTTAAAAGTTTTGAAACTGGACTTCTTCTTTTTTTTAAATCTGTATTCAGTTCTTCCAGTCACTCCAGTATTTTACTTTGGATTTATTTCAGCTTAGATAATTCTAATTAAAAAATAATAATAATAATAATAAAAGAAAAGTGTCAGTGCAATATGTCAAAGATGTCAAGGTGGTTTTCTGTCATCATTCACATTGTAGCTACTGTAGTTTCAACTTCTGCTGCCCTCCGAGTGAAAACACAGTTTCCAGTACAGCTAATTTGTAAGCTGTACAAAAATAGTCTTTTCTATCAGTAAATACAATTTCCCCCAGCTGATCTATCTATCTATCTGTCTATCTGTGTGTGTATATATATATATATATATATAGATATATTAAAAAAACAATAAAACAAACACAAGTTTCAGAAACAGGATCGTCAGACTGAAATACAAATGTGATTGTAATAGTGACAGCTAGTTTAGGCTATAGTAATAATCTCCTGCATGTCTACATGCACACACTATAGCACTATGAGCACTGCAGCTTAGCAGTATACACGGCTGTACTCGGGACAAGCCTATTACTACTTGACATGCAAATCTCTTTTCTGACCTTCTTCTGTCTGTCAGTCTGGCTCTCTCGCACGCACTCTCACCCCCACTACATAATCTCTCCCTCCTCTCCTCGCGAACTTTACGTCCCCCTGCTTCTCCCTGCTCACTTTCCCTCTTCCTCCCACACATTCACATTTCAGTCCAATTTTCTTTGCCCCATCCTTTCTCTACATAACAATGGTCTCCCCGTTTGTGCAAGCTCCCTCACTCCTGCAGCTGCAATTGATCACTCTGACTGGTGTGCGTGTGCGCTCAGTCTGCATGTGGCCGAGTTAAATCCCCTAAAAAGGCAAACTGAGCAACTTAGAATCTGTTATAACCCCCATGCCCCCCCAAAAACGTATAACGTATCCATGTATATGAGCAGATTTTGAGGATTGCATATATTTGTACAGAATTGCATAACTTTATCAAAGCTGCCGTTGTTTACCCAAGCCAATAGGGTCTGTTTCCTGCATTTGAACTTGTGTGTGTGAATGATTAAACCTCGGCCTCTCTGTATACACTGCTCTGTCTGTCAAGGTGGCTTCAATGCCTCTTTGAAACTGTTCAAACACACAAGCACACCCTTAGCTGCGTGTTAAAATTATAGCGTCATCATTTATTAACACAAAAGCTATTTTTTTTGGCTATTTTAATGCAGTACTTCTTATGATTTGGACATAAAATAAAACCCTTTTCACTGACACATATCTGATCAACATCGAGTTACGTTATTTTATTCAGTCTTTATTTGCTTTTTTTGTTAAATCTCGCTTTGTTCATCTTATGACTCTCCCTGGCTTACCAGCTTAATGTCATGAATGTTTGTCCCAAACATTAGTTTGACCTAGTTTCTTTTAACTGGCTCGGCCACGTTCGGCCTAATTTGAAGGTTAGAAACAGAGGCGTTTATGAAGGAAAACAAGAAAGAAGTTTTCCTCACCAAACGCTGACATACAGTTTTAGGCGCAGTTTCACTGTCGCTGTTCACTGCCAAAACTTTCAATATGACTGTATTTGCTTAAAATAAAGAAAAAAAGCATGACATTACAGGGCCTGATAGGCCTGTGATTTCTGTGCTTTGTTTGCATGCATGAGTCAAAATGCCCCAGTTTAATGTCACTACATCCTGTAGTCTCCCAAATTTCCAGCTACTAAAATAGAAACATGCATTCGCTCTGTGAAAACTTGTTAATTCACTTGAATTCAGTTGTGTTTATATAGCATCAAATAGCAGCAGCAGCAGCAGCAATCAAACGACCCTCTCTGAGCAAGCATTTGGCAACAGCAGGAAGGAAAAACTCCCTTTTAACAGGAAGAACCCTCTAGCCAATTTTCTGTGATCAGTTGGAGGTGAGGAGAAGAAGGCAGGACAAAAAACAAAACGAAACACGTGAAGTTTAAGGGAACTCGTGGTTAAAAAATGTTTTCTGAAATCTTCAACTACAAATTAGAGATTAAACAACTGTGAAAGTGAGTGGTATTTTGTAAGATAGTTCTACAGACAGTCAGTAGCAGTAGAATTACAGTAGTACTACAGCATCAGTAGCAGGAATTCATCGAATAGCCCAGGCTTGGGTAGTTCTTTGGCAACAGCCCACAGCCCAGTGTTCAGACCTTACCCAGTGTTTATATGCAGTATAATCTAATCTTGTTGTCTTTGATAAAATCATTACTTGGCGGTAGGCGAACTCTGCCTCTCACTCTGCCTCGGAGTGAAACACACACAGATAAGGGCAGTAATCTGTGCACAAGGCTGGGGCTTGTTTTTGCCATCGGTGGGTCAATGGTCATTGCTTTGCACGCACGCGCTGCTGGTTTCTCGCGTGCAGCGGCCGCTTTTGTTTCATGGTGAAGCGTTGGCAGATTCCACACTGTATTTGTTTCTCTGCAGTTTGGCCATCTCTCTCCATTCTTTCCGCCACCCCCCCTTTTTTTTTTAAAACAATTTTCTTCCTGTTTCTTTGTTGTTTTCTTGAATACCAAAGAGAAAACACGGAGAGAGAAAGAGATACTGAGATTCTCCACATTCTTTATTTTGTCTGGTCGATAGGTATTTTCACTTTCTATTCTGCTTACAGCTACAAGGAAACACGTATTATGTTTCTAAGCTGGCCTATGTTGTGTGAGCTTTCGTGGAATTACAGGTTTTGGTCTGGCGTTACATTAAAACAAAACGCAGCTTGTCGCATATCTTAAAAAGATGATGTTAGGCTAATGCGCATATTAATAATTAAGCCATTTATTATATGAGTGCCAAAGATGCTCCGATTCCAGATGATTATCTACTAAAAGAAATTAAGGGTCAGTGCGAGAAATTAACAAAGAAATAACGTGATAACTTTGGGGCAAAAACAAGCAAAGGTGTCGGAAATCTTCCTCAAAATCTTTAAAACATAATTTGAACCTTTCAAAAGTAGCCTTTCGTGACATTTAATAGTTTAAATGTCACGAAATGCAAGCAAGTAGTAGCCAGGAATCTGCTGTGCCTTCCGTATAGTTTCAAAATTTTACTGCTAGACTTTGATTTTTTTCTTCTTTTTTTTTGTTCCCTGTCTGGATAATAGTTGGTGTCTTTATAATCACATGTATATCTCCATGAATCCTAAATTTAGAATAAATTAATCAGTCAAGCAAAATAAATCCTACACTTTACACTTTGCCTCTGTGGTGCGTGTGCCTAGATTTCTCGCTGGATGTTTTATTTGCGGGGAATTCATCGCTTATCGTGGCCTGGTTACCATTTGCATACTTTTTACACCGGAGTTTCTTTTTGTATCAGCTCAATCTGACTGTGTTTTGGCTTCTCAGTCAGAGGAAGTGGTGAATGGGTTTCCTGCCCCTCCTCCAGAAACACACACACACACACGATGAGATGTGTGTGTGCGCAGAGAGAGAGAGCGAGTGAGAGAGCGACGGGGAAACCAGAGAGCCGAGCGAAAGAAGGTTAGCCAGCCAGCGGCGAGTGAAGAAAATGGCGATCACGCAGGATGAATGCCTCCCCTCGTAGATGCTGCAAACGCTTTGAATTTCTTTAGCCTTACAGTCGGCTTTCCTTTCCTCTCTGTTGCACTTTATACTTCAATGAGGTACGGATGTTTTTGTGCTGTTTTCGTGCTCAGACGACCGTTTGTTTGTGTCGAGCTAGCGTAGGTAGTGAGGAGAGCGACGGCGGCTGGTGGAGATAAGTTGAGCAAACGCTGTTGTTTAGTTAGCAATGGTTAAGCTGGGGTAGCTTTTCTAACTCCTGGCGTTTGGGACTCGATTTTGCTGAATTTGTAAAAACGTCGACGGAGAAAAATAAATGCTGATGTTTGCCTGTAGATGGCTAAAACATTTCGTAGTCTTTCAGGAAAAAATTTGCCTTTGTAGGCGGCTTAACCTTGTGCTAACGCTAACTACTAGTAGCACTTATTAACCCTAGTTTGCCAGTTGTGCGTAAGCATTTGGTTCTGTGATATTGCTTCTAAACTATTTCTGTTTGTTACAAAAGCTTTTCCATAATTGCTGCATGTGAAATACGACCGTGTAAGTTAACTAGCCGCTTCGTAGCGTTAGCTTTAGCACCTGAGCTAATCTGACGACGCAGGTTACTCGTCGGTAACCGGGACGGGTTGTTTTACATTTTAGGAACTTGCATATTCTGTACAGGTTTCTCCGTGACCTAAATTAACCGAAACGGGATGGTTAGAAATAATTTTGATTTGACATTGTGGGGGGGAATGGTAAACCTGCAAAGTTGTGCTACAATCGGAACCTTTAACCCCCTCTGTCGGTGGACAGACAAAAGCAGCTGGTTAGCTAATCCAGTGTAGACCTGAGCTCTGCTGGTTTTGCAGTCGTATTCCCCTTGCTTTACAACTGCGACGACGAGACTGCAAACAGCACAGTAGCATTCTATGATTTAACTGAATCGACTGTGATCTGATGCCCTGCCGGGGATGTTGTTTTGAGTTGCACTGGAAAAATACCAGGCTCGAGAGAAGCCATGTTGGTTAAGCTGCAAGTCGGGCAACAGCTGAGATAATGGCCGATCAGGACCCGAGGTGCAACTTTGACCTACAGGCGCGCGCACACCCACACACAATTTGCGTGTTTGTCTTTTTTCACACGTTCTCCAGTGGGGCCCCAGCTTCGCGGAGGGAGGGGGGCTGGCCATGCATCGCCTTGTTATGCAGCTCGACCTGCATTTCCACATCAGCTAGTTGAAATGCTTTTCATATGATTAGTGCCAAATAGTCGTTTGAAGTTTGTGGCTTTAATTGAATAATGCTTGCATTTTCAGGGATGACGCAGACCTGTTGTGGTAGCGTCCTAATGTTGTCTTTACAAGCTGTTGCTTTACTGATAATAAACAAATTGTAACACACACAGCACACAAATCCAGGTTAGATTTTATCAGTCGCTGGGGGTTTTATTTTATGGCTATGGCGTGCAAGTGATTAGGCTTTTCTTATCTCTCCTCTCTCTTTCATAGATTTGGAATTGGAAGCTGTTGCCACCAAAGAAACTGAAGCATCTTAACAGGTCAGTGTGGCACCTTTAGACACACATTTCATATTCAATTGCAGTAAAGTATATTATAATAGCCCTGCAATAAATACTACATCAGCAAGATCTTTGGATTTTGAAAGCATGGAAAATAAACGGGTGTTCTTTGAATGTGTTTTCTCAGTTTATGGTGCTGTTGAATGGTTTTATGTTGTGTGTAATACCGTTTATACCCTATATAAACACATTAATGGGTGTCTCGAAACAGGGCCTGAAAATGAGGACAGTTCAAAAGCTTAACAGGAGAATTTTTGATCCTGTTCAGGTCTGCCATTTATTTGCCCATTAAACATGTGGAGTGCTCAAGGTTAACTCATGAAAGAAGCTGAAGTAGAAATGCCC